TGTGTGTCCTTCCTGCATTCCAGGGAGTCAGGGATGAAGGGTCAGATCCTGGTAAATGGAAAACCCAGGGACCTGAGGAAATTCAGGAAAATGTCCTGCTACATCATGCAGGAAGACATGCTGCTGCCACACCTCACTGCACTAGAGGCCATGATGGTGAGCTGTTTCTGACACTGCTTATTTCAAAGCCACAACAAACTCATCCTCAACGTTTGTGTTTATGTTGAGGCTTTGTGTTAATGTTTTTATTATCTTTTACATTGTGTCTTATCCTGTGAGGAAAAGGTTGATAGTTATTGGGATCTTTTTGATCTTCTTATTGAGCTTCTGAAATAATAGTTGCATGACATGATAATAACTTGATTTTCCTCTTTTCTGCAGGTTTCAGCTAACTTAAAGCTGAATGAAACTATGGATGTGAAAAAAGGACTGGTGAGCTTAACAAATAACATCTACTAGCATAGAGATTCCCTCAATAAAAAAATGTGTTTTACTTATCTTTACCCTTAAATGTCTTGACCCGACTGCATTACACGTTTTTCACTTCCCTAAAATCTGAGGTTCAAAACTACCCTGACAAAAGAGATTAGTTGTGTGACACTTGTTAAAACATCTGTTTAACAAAGAAATGGCAACACATATATACTATTTAAACGTCTCCAACCTACTCCAACAAAGAAAGCTAAAACCGTAATTGCAGAGCAGACTTGTCAAAGTAGCGAGAGTTAGCATTAGCATTGTGAAAGTCCTGACAGTAAACAGCAATTTGATAACATTTTCTTTTACTTTTGTAAGTGAAAGTCATGTAAAACTAACTTTTAATCATAGCACAGAGGATTTCTAGATGCTTGCAGACTAAACACACACATAAAAAAGATAATGACAGTAATTCTTCCACTTTAATACGGCCTAATTCAAATTTAAACTTAACCGGCCAATCACCGTAGAAATTTGGAATGTAACTTTCTGTTTACACGCTCCACTTTGTGGAAGCACTTGTATTCCCAATTTGGCTAAAAGGCCAGTTGTCCAAGGATGGCTTTCTATACCTTTTCAGGTATCTATATTTTGTTTCTAAAATAAATGCCAATACAGGGCTGTCAGGAGATGTAGGTAAGCGTCCACCATGCAAACACAAACTTACACAGACAGTTACTTAGCTGTGGCATAAATGTAATTTATTTAAGAGGAATCAGTGGTAGATACCCATACATTTTTTGTGAGGATGTATGTACTATGTTGTTTTGTGTCAATTAATATTTAATGTCATTAAGCATTAAAAATACGCCTAGCAGGCCGCCAGATATCTCAGTGGTTAGAGCTGGCCAGCGCACGTGTTTGACTCCAGCGTGGAAATATTAGGCAGTGTATCCCCTCTCTCTTCCCCCTTTAAACACTGTATCTATCAAAAGTCTCTCTAGCCCAAACCTCTTTTTTTAATATTTCTCAAAATTATTTTTGCAGTCTATACTTGACAATGACGCTAAAGTAGTTTCGTGGGTACAAATGAAAAATAATGTTTTTTTTAATAATCAAACAAACCATTTTTGAATCCTGTGAATTATCTCTCTCTGACTTTCTCTATCCAGGTGAATGAGATTCTGACTGCCCTGGGACTCCTTGACTGTGCTTACACTCGTACCAGCTCTCTGTCCGGCGGTCAATGTAAACGTCTGGCCATCGCCCTCGAACTGGTCAACAATCCTCCAGTCATGTTCTTTGATGAGCCAACCAGGTGAGACACGCAGGTGCTGATGATGGCTGAATTAAAAAGAATAATAGCACATAAGACATTTTAGTTGTTTGTTTGAAATGTGCCTCCATTAAAAAGGCAATGCAATGTACAGTATAATTTAAACATTGACCATATTAAGTCGATTGCTGTGGAATTGGAATACAATATACAACCTATGTGGTTGTTATTATAGTTTATGCCAACAATTGACTTTATTTATTCATTAGGTAATGGATAAAATGCAAATTTGAACAATAGAATTGAGGATTTAGATGTTTTCTTCCTGAAAAGGCGACCCAAAGGCAGTTTCAGTTCGTCCAGACTGCACATCTGGCTGCACAATTATAATGAGTCTTGTGACAGCTGGACATATGGTGTTGGAATGACTTTTGAAACCAAAACCGTTTGACTCTTAATTGTAATGGCAGCATCTGGCATGTATAAGCGGTTGGACGCACTGGTACCCAGGTCCTCTGACAATTGAAGTCTTGCAGATACAAATAAATACAACATTTTGACCAGAGTTCGCAAAGTTTCTCTCATGGAAACCATCATAATGAATGCACTGGTCCTTGCATGACTATTACATTGAGTGTTTCTCTGTCAAATATATGAAGGCTTTCACGGTCTAAATGGTTCAAGTTTCTTGCATTAAATATCATCTTTGGGCCTAACAACTCAATCAATGCGGTTTGGTTACATCGATACCTTTTAGCTGATGCTAGCTATGCATGTTATCTAACGGAGCTACTCTCTCTCAATATACAGAATCTAAATTGAGTGTGATCAGTCAATTTAATATTGATTGACTGACTAATGCTTATAGTCTAGTCTAAACTAGGTCAGCAGTAATGAGACTATGAGAAGATATATGATATCCGTCGCAGCTGTGTGTCTGTATTCAGCAGGATGTCTGCAGGAGGCACTTAGAGTAAAGTTGTTATATATATAATACATATAATGGCACTGTTCTACCGGTAAACACTTAAGAAAGAACATGTCAAGCTATGTGCTGTATCAGAAACAATGCGCGGCGTGTTTTGGGAGTAATATGCTCTGTGTTTACATTAGCAAGCATGCTAACACTCAGAGCTAACCATGGAGCTAACGCTGTAGGCTACTGGAGAGAATTATGTGTAACGTATGTCCCTTTGTGGGTAAACCCTTACGAGAGGAGAAAGGTTTGAGCTCCATATCTGTTTCTCAGAAAATAAAGCTTGAAATCGTTGGAGCATAAATGCATTTAATCACCGCAGCGTTTAGCTGAGCTTCTCCCGGTAGAAATCTCTCTAGCAGGGGAAAGCTGCGTGAAGCTACAAAGGGGCGTGGCTAGCAGCAGCCGTTCCATTTAAAGCAGAATCAGCCTGTTTGGAACAGGGCTGCAATAGAGGGGTATGAGCAGTATGAGGCATGGCTACAATGGGTGATCTGTTTTGCAACAAACTCCACAGACATTTTTTGTATAGGTACAATATATTTTTCAAATATAGCATAATAGGTCCACTTTAAGCTTTGGACCTTATCATACTTGCTCCAATAATTGTTAATAAGAGGTAGCACTGAACTTTGGAAATCTGCTTTTAGGCTCTGTGCCAACAAAAACGTGAATTGTTCTATAGTGTAATTTATAACTCAATACATTAGCATCCTTTGGACGGTTTGAATTCTTAATACAAAAGCATTTCACCCTAGTATGCACTTGCTTCTACTTATTTTAACTAGTTCTACCACTATAAAATATATCTAAATCAAATTCACTGACTTAAATCTTATTTTTATTAAAAAGACAATATATTCGCAAATTACAAGCATTTCTCAAAATATTTGTTCATAAAATGCCCAGTTACTGTTAATATAACATTAAAAAAAAAACTTTCAGGGTACAAAATTCAATCAATAAAAGGGGCTTTTTCTCATAATATCTTTGTCCTGACTCATATATGTCATCTTCTTAGATGGCTCATTAATATCTGCCTGTGTGTCTCTCTCTGTTCAGTGGCTTAGACAGTGCGTCATGCTACCAGGTGGTCTCACTAATGCGCTCTCTGGCGCTGGGAGGACGGACCATCATCTGCACCATCCACCAGCCCAGTGCCAAACTGTTTGAGATGTTTGACAAGGTACAAGTCTGCCTATAAAGGACAAAGGAACAGAATAAAATGAATAACAGTCTGTGTCAATTGCAAACCTTAATACATTGTGTTCCTCCTCAGCTTTACATTCTCAGTCAGGGACAGTGTATCTACAAAGGCACAGTCCCTTACCTAATCCCTTATCTGAAGACTCTGGGCCTTTACTGTCCTACCTACCACAACCCTGCAGACTTCAGTATGTCCACATAATATTTATACAAGTTTTTGTTACACTTTCCTAAGAACCATTCTAATTCCTTAATGATCTGTGTCTTTCTGCATTTGCCTCCGGTGCAGTCATTGAAGTGGCATCAGGAGAGTATGGAGACCTGAATCCGGTGCTGTTTGAGGCAGTCCAGGGTGGAATGTGTGCATTGGAGGAGAAGAAGAATCAATGTGAAAACAATGGCACATCTGTCTGTGCAACAAAGTGCCACAAGGTGTGTAGTAGATGATGTGACTGGTTTTGTTCAGAAAACTTGGGATGTGGCTTCCTTTCCTACGTCACATGCGGGTTCATTTAATGTACTAACCCAGATGTCCATCTACAGCTTAAGAAAGCTTATTTCTCAAACCCTTATCAAAGGAGAGTTTTTATTTATTTTTTACCGAGAGGGAGGCCTTTTAAAAAAAGGGGGTCTCAGAAATAATTCATTTGTTTTAACATTGAAGCATGTTGAACATGTTCTAGTAGAAACCCCCCTAAAAAGTTCAAACTTTTACATTTACCTTTATATGCCCCGTTAAATAATTGTATTTTCAGTTAATATGTTTATAAAGTTATATTTTCTTATTCACTTTCTTGCCAAGAGTTAGATGGGAAGATTGATAATATATGATACAGTGGGAAACAGCTAGCCTGGTTCCGTCTAAATGTAGCAATATCCACCTACCAGAATAAAAAGGGACTCTTTCTGGTTTCCAGTATGGCTGTATTATATTTAAGTGAACAGTTCAAAAGATCACCACTAACAGATGCTAAGCTAACGGGTAGAAGCTAAATGTTACAATAAAGACAACACAAAATTCCACTAACAACTATTTATTTTTTGGATTAAGTTGAACAAATTACTGGCTAGTGGTTCCACCGTCAACTCGTAAGATATTAATATAAAGGATATGGTTAAAAGATGATTTTGGGACAAAATGGCAATACTACTTCTGCAGCCAGCGAAAGGTCCTGTGGATTTTGCTATTTGGAAGAAGCCAGGCAAGCTCTTTTCAGTCTTTCAGCTAATTTGAGATGACCATCTCCTGGCTGTAGCTTCACATTTACATTACAAAGATGAGAGTGTTATCTTCTAATCTCACTTCAGGCAAGAAAGCCAAAAAGGGAAGATAAGATAAACCTTTTTTAAAACCCAGAAGGGAAATTCGGTTGTGGCAGCTGCACAAGGACAGCAACAGTACAAATAATTGAGTAAATTAAATAATACATACTAAGAGGTATACTTAAATAAGAATAAAATAAGAAAATAGGAAATATAAAAGTAACATGGTATGGTTAGTGTAATAATAATAATAAATTATATTTATATAGCGCTTTTCTGGAACTCAAAGACGCTTTACATTTTGAGCGAGGGTAGACAAACAAGGACAGGCAAAAACAAACAACAAAAGAAAAAAATTAATTTAGAAAATAATAATAAATTAATAAAATAAAATATTTTTTGTAACAGTAGTGATTAGTACGACGGAGTATTAGGGCCACACTTAGAAGAAAAAAACAGAGACATTTCGAGAATAAAGTCGCAATAATATGAAAATAAAGTCATAGTTACGAGAATAAAGTCGTAACATTACGAGAATAAAGTCGTAATTTTTTACGAGAATAAAGTCGTAATTACGAGATTAAAGTCGTAGTTTCATAA